CAAAAAAATATACCGCAAGTTATACTTTGTAATTGTATTCTAAAAAAATCTAAAAATCTAAATAATTCCTAGTGTTTGACCGTACCTTTAGAAACCTCTGTAAATCACTCGAACCGTGAAGGTCTCCTCGAGTAATCCGACTTATAGGTAGGCTCTCAAATCCTCGTACCGTCGAATTAACTGAACGTTTTAATTAACGACACGGGAAGAATTTAATTTTCCAACTTCTATTCCGTGCAACACTGCCGAAGAAGATGAAGTATTCGATTAAGCGAGACGTCAGTCTAGCAACATGCCTAAAAACAATGCGTGGAATTCTACTCGAAGAAAGTTTCGCCTCCCCCCGCGGAACTACGGTAGCATCGAGACAAAAGCGAGACTACGGCTTATCTCGAGACGTTTTCCTCCGGGTTTCGTCGTACCCCAGATATTCGTCAGAAGTCAAGGAAGTACCGACGACGAATACAGAATCCACCAGACGAGGAATCAATGTGGCGTACATGCCAGCTAGTTGCATCCACCTACGTATATCTTTGGGAAATAAACTAGCACCGACGTTGAAGCCTGAAGAACTCCACTCTGCTTCTCGCGATAAAAGGGTGTCTGTTCGAAACTCCGACTTCCGCTATACGTGATCTACCGTACGGTCGAACATTCTCTAAGTGGGTAATTCAACACGAGGAAACTTTACAAACACGAATTTTAACTTTTACTTTTTAAATTGAATGGTTCGTTTCATAGCGCTTTAAATAATTTGAAAACGTCAACGTGGGAGTTATCAAACGAGAAGAGGTTTACCGTTCACGTAAAATTTCATGGTAGAAATATCGTTTCGAATTCTAGTACAAAACTTAAGCAACGATCTAATATATCTCATCTGTTGATGACGTCAGGATACGAAATAATAAACTTTGACACCCTTAACGAACAAATTAGAAATTTATCAGGTCAAATATGCGGTATACAGAAACGATACGATGGACATGCAACGACGTAATGGACGACAATCGAGGCGATGTAATCGAACAACATAACGATCTCGCGATGATCATTCGACCTTCTTTTTAACATTATTAAAAATAACGTCAGCTTTTCTGATTGTAAATTGCGATGGTTTCAAGTGACGTGCAACGTCTCGATTGCTTTTCCGTTGCATCGAAGTAACGGTGGAATGCATAAAATAACCCGTGTCCGCGGAACAAGGGATGCGTTCAACCGGTGGAGGTGGAAGGCGAGAGCGTCCCGGGTGTTTCGTGCTCGTAATTAAAGCCTGTAAGGGAACAGCAACACTTGAGCCTAGGTGCACATTTACCGCGGTCTGATAACGTGACCGTTATGAAAAATCTGCATGAAAAGCCCGAAACGCGGCCGCCTTCCGATATACGAAGGGTGGTTTCCGTGTCGAGCCACTTCAGTGCTCGGTTCAATCTCGAGGATACCCGTGCACGCCACCCCACCGAAAACTAGACGCTAAGTTACCAGCCGTAAAGCGGCAACTCGCGCGGAGCTAGCGACTTTTAAATCGATAAAGGGAACCCTTTTATTTTTGCATTTCCCTCCCCCCCGCGCGGCAAGCTTGGCTAACTTTGAACACCGAGGATTATTTTTAGCGGGTTCGAGCACGGTTAAAAATAGATCACGATGAACTTTCCCACCGCGAAATCGCAACTTCGACCTTAGACGAGGCTCTCGCGCAAGATGGTGCACGTATAAGCTGACGGAAACGCGATATCTACATCGATCAGAACTTAAAGAATTTTAAAGAACGACATTCTTTGAAAATTTGATCGCCTTAAACATTTTTACTGTGGATGACGATTTCCTTTTGTCAGTGGAAAGCACTGTTCTTAACTTGCGAAGTTTACACTATGATAATCGATACTTCGATGCGTAGTTTAAAAAAGAAATTACGTTTTGGTACTATTTTCACGAAGGAACCTTTGCTTCAATTATGAGTAACGCGAAGACTTTTTTGCGTTAAATAATGGTTACCAATTATAAATTGTTAACGAATCGTTAACTGTTGCGTTGAACAGTTTATGCGTTTAATTGGGATCTCCGAATGCGCAAGGAATGCAAGTTGCAACGCATTACATAAAAGATGTGCACAACTGGCTGATGCGCGGGGAACCCTTTCTTCCCTATTTCGCGCGGAGTGGGCGGTCGCTGCAAACAATGAACGAAAGAATCGTCTGGCTATAATGCACGGCCCTAGGTACCAGACGGGACTGACAAGTACCGGGCACGCTAATATAGAAGGAACAATGCGACATCAACGGGAGAGAGTTTTCCAGGGCTCTTGAAACAATTAGCGGCACCGCCGTTAATCTCCCGCTCGACCCTCTCTATGGCGCCAATCTGCGCCAGATTCGCGGGGATTTAAAAAGTTCCGAAACCAATCGAATTACACCGGCGTTTAGCAAAGCTAATTTCGAACGTGACGAGCAATCTCCAATCGATGTAGGGCTCGAAAAAATATAGCTAGATCCAGGATATTGCGAAAACTACGACCATACGATGCCCCAAATAATAGGGAATCTTTCAAATTACTTGGATGCGCTCTAAAATTACTTGGATGTACTCTAAAATTACTTGAATGCACTTTAAAATTACTTGAATGTACTCTAAAATTAGTGGAATGCACTCTAAAATTCCTTACAATGTTTACCTATATGATGGACACACAACTGAAAATTAGAAATTCAATTAACTATGAGTTTCATTGATTTTAAGAGAACTTTGTAAACTAGAAATATAGCTTGGCTTCGTCATAATATGGGATCTTTAAAATTACTTGAATGTACTCTACAATTACTTGAATATACCCTAAAATCACTCTGAATGTTTACCTATACAATGAGCATACTACTGAAATTTATGAATAGAATTTATTCTGAGTTTAATTGATTGTAACGAAACTTTGTAAACTAGTAAAATCACCGAATACGATATAGGGCTTGAAGAAATATAGTTGCATCGATGGCATTGCAAGATCTCTGACCAAACGATATCCCAATAACATGGGATCTATAAAATAACTTGAATGTACTCTACAATTACTTAATGAATTCTACGGATACTTGAATGCACTCTAAAATAGCTTGAATGCACTTTAAAATTACTTGAATGTACTCTAAAATTAGTGGAATGCACTCTAAAATTCCTTACAATGTTTACCTATATGATGGACACACTACTGAAAATTAGAAATTCAATTAACTATGAGTTTCATTGATTTTAAGAAAACTTTGTAAACTAGAAATATAGCTTGGCTTAGCCATAATATGGGATCTTTAAAATTACTTGAATGTACTCTACAATTACTTGAATGTACTCTACAATTACTTGAATATACCCTAAAATCACTCTGAATGTTTACCTATACAATGGGCATACTACTGAAATTTATGAATAGAATTTATTCTGAGTTTAATTGATTGTAACGAAACTTTGTAAACTAGTAAAATCACCGAATACGGTATAGGGCTTGAAGAAATATAGTTGCATCGATGGCATTGCAAGATCTCTGACCAAACGATATCCCAATAACATGGGATCTATAAAATAACTTGAATGTACTCTACAATTACTTAATGAATTCTACGGATACTTGAATGCACTCTAAAATAGCTTGAATGCACTTTAAAATTACTTGAATGTACTCTAAAATTAGTGGAATGCACTCTAAAATTCTTTACACTGTTTACCTATAGAATGGACACACTACTGAAAGTTATGAATAGAATTTCGTTTAATCGATCTTAACGAAACTGTGTGAACTGGTAAAGTCATCGAACACGTTTGATAATTTTTTATTAACATTCAGAATTGAAAATTGTCTTTTGAGATTAGCATAAACTTCGAACGAGTTCTTAGGATGGGACACAAGTTTTCCTACAATTTTTTCGCTGACGGTGCGAATCATTTGCATAGGATCCATTCAATCAAAAGTAAGAAACGAGTCGAAGGGACACCCTAGCAAGGTTCTTGGTAATAGGAGGCTGTCTCGAGGAACAGATGGTTCAATTTATTACAGGCTTTAGTTGAGCAATCGGGGCCGATAATTAAACTTCTGAAATTCGCCCAGAGCTCCGAAAAGTGCTCGGCAAGCAGAAACGTTGCTCCCGGTATCAATTACGGGGACAAAAACTTATTAAGGTCGTCAAATATCGATACGAATATCGATTTCCTGCGGCAACGATACTGTCGTTACAAAGTCCATTCGACATCAAATTCCATTTAATATTTCCAACAAACATTTCACGGTTTTCCATCGGGGTACGACGAGTTTGCATTGTATAGACGAAAATAACCAAATAAATCGCCGGGAAAACCAATAAATTACGAAATTAAACAACGCATTTCCATCGATGGAAAGATACGAATACCAACGAGTCCGGGAGCAATTCCGAATTAAATTCAAAGTAATGAAAGAAGAAGCTTCAACGAGCTTTATTTCTTCGTAAACGTCTCGACCACGAGATTAGGTTTCGTTACTTCGTGAACACATCGATCTTTCTGGTATTCCTTGAGATCAGGAAGGTTCTACTAATATCTTCCAACAGAAACGACTTACCTTTACGTTACTATCATTAAGTTTATAACATTATTTATAAATATTACAAATAAAATGATAAATATCAACTATACCGTAGTATAACTAATTCATATTTTTAAATATCTATAAATATGCAAACAAAGAAACAAAGTTTACCTATTAAAGCTTCTTGTCACTTTGTATTTAACACTAGATTTATGGAACCACGCCAATTTAACGTGTTTCAAATCCCATACTTTGACTTGCAAAACTCATAAATATTATTTGTTAGCCATTTACACGTTGATGGATCTAATGATACGAATCTATATCTTAATTAAAAGTAACATCGTGTAATGGATGTCCGAAAATCTAGTATTAAATATGGAATCGAATCGAAATTTCTTCTCGTGGATGGCGTTTAATCGTCGAATAGAAAACAAAAAGAATTGCATGAACTTACCTTTACCGTGCAGCTGCTGTCTGTTCGTGTCCGCGCGTAGGTTTTCCGCAGTGTGAACCAGCTCGTCCAGCTGCGGCTTTTTCTGTTCCAGCTCTCGTAAAACATTCTGCGGAAACCAAACTAGGATCAGTACTTCCCACTTAAAACTTGGAGGACGATTTTAAAATTCCCAGGAACCACGCGCGCGGAGGAACGCTGACGACGTAAATCGAAGAAAGAGGCACTCGCGGTGCCGTTCGTGTTTAATAGCAACCGTGAATCGCAACTTCGATTCTCAGTAGCAGCAAGTAGAACAAGTTGGGAAATTAACGGCCGGCTGTTGAAGCCGGGGAACGTCGGTTCGTTGCCAGACAAATGCTGTACAAATTTTCGACGCGTTCGCTGAACATACACGAGCCCCCCAAGGATCGAAATCCTCGAAATTAATCGTTTTTACAAGGAGCTCTGCATTCTTAATCCTTAGACGTACGATTTAATTTCAAATAAATTTTCAAACGTGCACTATTTAATTTTGTTTAAATTTCTTCGTACAGGAAAGTATAAATTTGTTTTACGAATACCTCGTGAATGTAAAAACTGAAATTTATCCACGTTGCTGAATTTTTTCCCCGAAAGTGCGTAGAATTTCGAAGGTATGTGTATTCATAAAAAATTATTGTAATTGACCCCCGGAACCAAAAATAATTTTTTTAGAACGATTTGAAATTTTTTAATTTTGTCGAAAAATTCCACACATTCTCGAATTTTTTTCTAGAAAGTGGGTAGAATTTCGAGGGTATGTCTATTAACCAAAATTAATTGTAATTGACCCCCGAAACGGAAAATAATTTTTCCAGAAAGATTTGAAATTTTTTTTTCGCCGAAAAATTTGGGCACCTGTCAATTCTTCTTAAAAATTTGTGTTTGATATTTAGTAATTTTGTTTGACGCCCTACAGAAAAGTTGTATAATTCATTTTTGTAGGTACCCATGAGTTCTACTTCAGAAAAAAGTTTCATCGAAATATATTCACTATTGTAGAAGTTATAGCTGCTTGAAAATTGGACCATTTTTATGGAGTTTTTCTAACTTTATGGTGTCAAGGAACAACTTGTTCAATATTGTTAGAATTCCTACATATTCTGTGCCAAAATACACGTTGTTTGCCGTTTGAAACATTAAAATCCTTGAATCCGTTCAAAAGTTATGATGTTTTAAAGATACGCAAGAAATTTTGGAGTGACATTTCTGGCCAGAAATTATATTTTCGGTAAGGAATTTTTTTCTCGAAAATGGTTAGGATTTCAAGGATATGTCTATTGATAAAAAATGATTGCAATTGACTCCCGTAACCAAAAATAATTTTTCCGTGAATGATTTGAAATTTTTAAATTTAATTTTGTTAATAACTTTTTAACGAAGCCTCAATCAACAAATTAGTATCCTTGATTTTCGTCTTATTTTGACCTGTAGAATCTCCCATTAAAATTTTTCCCAGGTGTGACCGAACACCCTGTATAGTACATGCGATATTCATAACTAGCGTGTTGTCTGAGTTTTTTGAGGTCAGATAGTAAGTGTTTGCGTTCGTTGTTGCTTTTGTTTGTCGTGCCTAAGGACAAGAAAGTAATATTCAGGATTACCAGACAAACGTTCGGCGAAACCCTCGGGTCGATCACCTGTTTCTGCCTCCGTTGTAGCTGCTTTCTGCTACACGGACCTATCGATCGGCTGTAGGCATTCTAGAAACCGAGCTACCATTTTCGCAGTCCATTGTACCAAGTACGAGTGGCTTTTTCGGGGTCTCATTAGCATTTTCTACGGGAGATGCGTATTATTATTCGTTTCTGTCGTCGCGTACAATCGTATGGGGCCATCGAATTACGCGTAACAGCGACCAAACGAAACTCTTGGCTCTATATTTATTAAACAATGCAATGTAAAGGGATTAATGATGTCGTTAATTGTTTATAATGTTACAACGAACGTAACCAGTGCTCAATTATACGAGACTATTAAAACCATCAACGCAAAATGTGAAACACACGATAAAGTTTGAACGTGAAATCGCATTAAAAGTAAAGTATCAGACAAACTAGATAACGAAGTTGTATTCTGTCATTAGAACATCAATATCGATTTTGTTTCCATTCATTTTTTCATCGGGAATGTACGATTTTATTTCGAGACGAATTCAGCAAGTTAAATAAGCATTAAAAGTTTCTGAACAATATTTTATATTATTATTACGACTGCTGGGCATTGAATTAACCATTGTTTTCAATTTCAAACCGTGATTCTCATCTGTTGTTTCCCATTACAATGCGGAACAGGAGTATTTTGCGAAGCAACAGCTGAGCAAATTCACCGTTATTATCCGCAATAATTTTGCTCTAATGGACTTTATATTGCATCATACTATACGATTAATTAATGCAAATACAGTTCAAAGAAGGAAAAAAAAAATTATCCCTGGAATCCCAACAACTGACGATAATAAATTATGCGCGTCATAAATTTTAGTTTATCTTCGCGGGTGTTGGTAATTTATCCCGATATTTCGAACCCAGAGAGAGAAAATTGGATTACAAAATATAACGCGTATTACGTAATGCAAGTTTGTTCAGCTTTATTGAAACTCGTCCGTAAAACTTTCAATTATCGAATAGAAAATACGCTATCGGCGAGAAAAGCGTAAGAAAATATTGTTCGATAGTAAACGAAGAATGCAGCGAAAATATGATTAAATATTTCTTCCGTGATTTTGTCATAATTCGGGAACGTAAACTTTATTTAACACCCCTGTTGCGTGTATAGAATGATTGCTGAAACACGCAGTATAACGGTCGTTCGCCTTTCATTAAAAGGCTGATTGCTCGCGTGAAAAATTACGCAAGAAGAGCGGTGCGATGTACTTTCATTATGCCTCGTTCGTATAACACATTTATCGCACGCTGCACCGTAGCCGTGAAAATGTTTGCCGAACCGGAGATTCCAAGCGGATTACGAAAACAATAACCGTGTTAAGTCTTGCTAATCTGCAGCAGCCCGAGATAAAAGGACACCCGAACGACTGGCTCCTTCTCACCCGACTACACCGAATCCTAATCCCATTCTCGCGCTCGCCTAACGATCGAATTAATTTTCCTAAAGTCGACTAACCGTGAAACGCGTTCGCCGCCCTTTCTTCGTTTTCCACGCCGCTGTTCGCTTCGTTTTATTGCATCTCCTCGATCACGACAACGGTAAACGACCAGACGAATCGATGCAGACCAGCAAAAATTAATATCAAAGATCAACACGAACGCGGTTTTTCCTTCGGCGAGTATGCAAGATAAGAGGTTTCATTGTTGAGAATCTCGAGCAACAGCTGACGACAGTTCGATGAACCGTTCGATCACAATAATCGATTAATTTTCTAATAAAAATAACCATTATTTTTTCGATAATTAACGTATCGAAAATGTATATTTAATTATCGAGAAATCTATGTTTTTTTTAGTCTTTTATTTTTCGATAATTAATGTGGGATCAGAATTTCACACAAACAAGAAATAGTATACATGGCGTTCGGCAACCCCTGAGATAAATTAAGACAAAATAAGACAAAACTCAAGAATATCAAATTCTAGGAGAGGCTTCATTGAAAAGTTATTAAAAAATTGTAAATCATTCTGAAAAAATTATTTTTGGTTGCGGGGCTCAAATACAATCATTCTTGGTGAATACACATACCCCTGAAATCCTACCTATTTCCGAGAAAAAAATTCGCGTAGGTACTGAAATTTGTAGACGAAATTAAAAAATTTCAAATCATACTAAAAAAATTATATTTAGTTACAGGGGTCAATTACAAAAATTTTTGGTGAATAGATATACCCCAAAATTCGAGTAGGTGGACAAATTTTTCGACAAAATTAAAAAATTCCAAATCGTTCTAAAAAAATTATTTTTGGTTGCAGAAGTCAATTACAATCATTTTCGGTGAATAGGCATACCCCCGAATTCCTACGCACTTTCGAGAAAAAAATTCCTTACCGAAAATGTAATGTCTGACCATACATTGACATGTTTCCCTGAAATTTCGTGCGAATCTTTAAAGTGTCATAACTCCCGAACGGATTGGAGGATTTTAATTTAAAAAAATGCAAACAACGCGTATTTTAGTGGAGAATAAGTAGAAATTCTAACAATATTGAAAAGCTTCTTGCTTGACACCGTAAAGTGAGAAAAACATCCTAAAACTGGTCCAATATTTAAATGGCCATAAGTCGTACAATAGTAAAGGTATCTCATTGAAATTGTTTTCTGAAGCAGAGCCCATGGGTACCTACAAAAAAGTATTAGACAACTTTTCTGTAGAGCGTTAAACAAAGTTATTAAAAATGAAAAACGAATATCGAAGAAAAATCGACAAAGGGGTGCCTAAATTTTTCGACGAAAAAAAAAATTTCAAATTGTTTTAAAAAAATTATTTTTGGTTCTGGGGGTCAATTACAATCATTTTTTGTGAATACACATACCCCCGAGATCCTACCCACTTTTGAGAAAAAAATTCGATAAGGTATTAGAATAATTTGTAAAGGCATAACTTGATCTATAAATAATTTAATAATTCATTTTTACTACAGGCAGAAAAATATATGTAAATGTATCCTAAAAAGTTCTGCTTTCTAAAATCGAAGTTTTGAGACAGAATGTTGAAATATCGAGAATATTAAAAATTACTAAAATTAACCTAACCCACTTTTTGAGTCTATTAGTTAAAATTACCTTTACATAAGCCATTATTTTACTTTGGTTTATGTTTTGAAATACTCTCAGAGATTCTGCCAAACAGAGAAATAATCTTTTCCTGATAACTAAATCCCTCTTCCACCCAGAGTCGTTCTCTTCAGCTTTTCAATATACGTCAATGTTTGTCGAGGCACAGCGTGAGAGAAATATTCTTTTTCGTCGAGACCGCCGGCACAGACATTCTTAAGATATTTCAGATCCGATCGTCTCTTCTTTTAATCCCGTTCCATACGGTCGCACAAACGAAGTTATTTATAAGCCTCTCGTGTAATCGATCGTGCGTTACTTCCGTGTCACCGACGGCTCGGAAACGGAGTATACGGGGTGTCC